CATCTCCCATATATAGACTGTCAATAATACGCGAAGAGATCGGCGCCGACAGCCTATTGATGGTCGACGCGAACCAGAGGTGGGACGTCGACGAAGCGATCGCATGGATGAAACAGTTGACTGACTTTGGCCTCCTCTGGATAGAGGAGCCCACCTCTCCGGACGACGTGTTAGGACACGCGCGCATCGCACAGGTCTAGTCACTTGCACTAAACGTCTAGTCCCTTATCCTTATCTCTCCCTAACCTAACGCAACCCTCACTTCATTATCTGTTAATGTCGTGTAATTTATATGTCATTTGTGTTTCTCTGTATATCTAAAGGCACTGAAACCGTACGGCATAGGAGTGGCGACCGGCGAGCAGTGCCAGAATCGGGTGCTCTTCAAACAGTATCTTCAGGCACAGGGACTACAGTTCCTGCAAATCGATTCGTGCCGTTTGGGTGGCGTTAACGAGATTTTGTCCATTATATTAATGGCCCATAAGTTTGGAGGTAAACACTGTTGTATTGCTAAACACTAAATATTAATTAATAAAATGCAACCAAAAAATCTAGTGCCTGTGTGTCCGCACGCGGGAGGCGTAGGTCTGTGCGAATACGTACAGCACCTGTCAATGTGGGACTACGTGTCGGTCAGCGGCTCAACCGATAACCGTATGATTGAATACGTGAGACATTTGAGCGAACACTACACATACCCGGCGTCGGCCACTCGGGGCCGATATGTGGCGCCCAAACATCCCGGCTATGGCTGCGAAATGAAGGCGGCGTCCATTCAATACTATGAGTTCCCTAACGGCACGTATTGGTCGGCAAAACATTAGCGTTTGAATTGCATTTTAACGCATAATAATTAATACTTTATTTAGTAATGATTTAATGAATAACTATTTTTATTGAATACTTCTTACTAATAAAAAGAATTTGCTAGTATCTTAAACGTGCTGTGTTTTTTACTGCATTTATACCCAGATGGTGTTTGTTTATTTGTTCTTTACTTCTATTTACGTGTATTATACTAGTTAAAGTTACTTTATATACAATATTTCATATTCTCTACAAAAAAAACTCACAGGTATTAATTATAATATCTAATAAATAAATACATGTGAAATATTTTTCTCAATTACTTGCTCAATAATATTCAGTAACGCAGAAATAAGTATAAACACCCTGGTCAACTCATGTTGGAACTTATTTCAAATTCCGGCCTAATATATGGCGTGTTATTTGCCATACCCTTAGTTTATTGGTATGTATTATCAAAAGTATTAGTTAATTACAATAATTATTAGTAATTTCTATTATATAAATGCAGGTACTTTACACGCAACTTTAATTATTTCACCAAATTGGGCATAAAAGGACCACGACCATATTTCTTTGTGGGCACGTTATGGGAAAACTTTCTACAACCAAATCCCGTATTAGAGTTACAACGATATAAAAAATACGGCAAAATCTATGGGTATTTACGAGAAATTCATTTGCTTTAATTAATTGGTAAATAATTGTCGCATACATTACCAGTATATTTGAGGGAAACAAAGCCATAGTACAAGTGGGTGATCCGGATCTTATCAAACAAATACTGGTCACTGATTTTCACGTGTTTGCTGGCCGTCGAGGCATCGGTAATGTGCGGCACCCGATCATGGATTTGACTCTCGTGGCGGCCAAAGGGGACGACTGGCGACGGATCCGATGGATAGTGAGCCCAACGTTCACCCCCAAGAAGATGAAGCGCATGTATCCGCTGGTGAGACAATCGTTGGCCACATTTCTAGACACTTTGGACACGTATGCGGTCAACAAGCGGGAGATCAACGCTAAGGACATGTATGGCTGTTATGCTATGGATGTGATCGCGAACTGCGCTTTCGCTACGAAAACCAATTCATTAAAAGACCCAAACAATCAATTTTTAATGAACGCCCGGAAAGTGTTTTCGCCGCCCGTATGGCGAGTATTGATTGGCTTTTTATTGCCTACAAATGCGTTGAATTTCCTAAACATTAGGACATTGTTTGAGGAAAAGTCGTTGGATTTCTTCAGCCAAACAATGCGTGAAATTATTAAAACCCGGAAGAAATCGGAGACAAAATTCAATGATTTTGTGGAACTCCTGATGAAAGCGAAGGAAAGAAGTGATGGAAACAGAGATGAGAGCGATAGACATGAAGACCATTATATCAATGAGGGTTTGAAGTGATTTTTATTGTAATTTTATATAAAATATTAATTTATATCATAGAAAACGACGAGAAAAAGAAAGTATTGGATAACAATTTGACACCAATTAAGTGCTTAACCGAAGACGAGGTCTTAGCGCAAGGCTTTTCGTTCTTCGCGGCCGGCTTTGAGACCACGTCCTCTACTCTGTCCTTCTGTTCCTATGAATTGGCACTCAATCCAGACGTTCAGCAAAAACTATACGAAGAAGTGATGTCTTCGGTGGACACAAACGGAGAGATTGATTACGAAGTGTTGACAAAACTGCCGTTTTTGGATGCAGTCATTACAGAGACACTAAGACTGCACTCAACAGCGCTTAAACTTACGAGAAAAGCGGCCGAAGACTACCGATTGGGTGACACCGGGATTACTATCCCAAAGGGAGATATCGTTGAGATACCAATCCATGCCATCCATCACTCGGAGGAAATAATAGGTTTGGGGCTTTACAAATAAGGGCTGGCGAAAGATGGGCTTTTAGCCCTGTTTTATTAAGGGATGTGAATGGATGGGAAGCCGCGGCCAGGAGCGTTAACACAACCATACTCCAAACGTATCATGGAAGTAAAGGCCTGTTTGGCACATATTATACAACGTTTTAAATTCATGAGATGCGCCCAAACGGCAGTTCCCCTCACTTATGTCAAACACATTCGTTCAAATTCAGCCAAAGCTATTATTATTGCCTTGGAAGCACGCAATTGATCAAGACACTTTTAAAAATGATAGCCAATTATATTTTTGGGTTATCAATATTATTATAAAATGCAATTCAATTGATTTTAGCGATTTAATATTCAAGAGTATTAATCTAAAATAATGATAGTTTGTAGATTTATACTATTAAAATTAAATAACCTAATTCAGTTAATTATTAATACTTCATCAAGTTTTCAGTTTATAATATGGTAAAGCATAATAAATGTATTTTTGTAACTTTTTAGTTAAAATTTAATAGATTTTATTATTTTTTCAAGTCATAGTAATTGTCAACCATTACCAATCTTTATTTAATTTGAAATTATTGCTAGAATATTAAAATGATAACATTAGGTTAACATAAGACTTGTTAGCGCAGCACAAGAAATACTTTTTATCTCAAAAAGTAGTAAATGATAAGAGTTTTTCTTAGAAATTACCCTAACTTGAATTACAATACACATTTCACCAATTTATTGTACATGTATATGCAATAATGTAATCACTCTACCTTTATAATATAAAAGCAATGTGTAACAATTAGTTTATAATGCAATTAATATATAAATCATAACTGATATAATGAAAAATTAATTTAATAAATAAATATGCTGTAGTTAAATAATTTTAAAAATTTAAAATCCTGAAGGTCTGATTAAAATTTATATTTAATAATTTATATAAAAAATAATTAACATTTCAATTGTGATATTAAAATTGACCTGGTCTCATAATACATTGAACAGGATGTTTATGAAACTATAAATGTAAAGTCAAAATGTTCCAGATAGAACATAATTAATACTTGATAAAAGGCACACTAGAGTACAATAAGTAACATAAACTAGTTGGTTTAGCATAATTAGCGCTTGAGGTTGAAAATCTTATGCATTCATAAATAGGATGTAAACAATGTATTTAAACACCAAAAACATTGGAAGAAGAGTAGGAAATCATCACTAAAAGTGCGGAACAATGACTAAACGGGGAGTTTTAGTACTGGTTTTGGCAGTGGTTTCAGGCATTCATGCTTTACCAAAAAGAGGTTAGCATTTGAGAAATACGCTTGTACATTTTACAGTATTAACAATTAAATTGTTGAATACAGACCATAATGATTACGTGAAGAACCCGCACCCGATTGTGTGTTACTTTGGCAGTTGGGCATGGTACCACGAAGCCGAGCGTTTTGACATCGATGATGTGAATTACGAGTTATGCACTCATATTAACTATGGTTTCGCAAAAATTGATGAATATAATTATACAATACAAATGTTTGATCCATACCTCGATTACACACACTTTCGTTAGTAAACCCTCTTATTTAATACATAACAATAATTAATGATTTGCCGCGTCTTCAGAGGCGTACCAGAGATTCATTGACCTGAAGAAGAAGAACCCGAACTTAACGACAATGATATCGTTGGGCGGTTGGAATGAGGGGTCGGAGAAGTACTCAGATATGGTTACCAACACTGATATGAGGCGCAGATTTGTGAGAAGTGTTGTCGACTTTTTGGATGAACATAACTTCGATGGCCTGGACTTGGATTGGGAACATCCGGGCAGTAGAGGTGGCGCTGCGACTGACAAACAAAATTATGTCAAACTATTGGAGGAATTGCGGGAAGCGTTTGAACCGAAGGGATATCTACTGACGGCCGCCATATCGGCCTCAAAGGAGACAATAAACGGGGCATTTGTTGTGCCAAAACTAAACGAACTGCTCGATTGGGCCAATATAATGACATACGACTACCATGGTGGTTTTGATAACTATATCGGACACAACGCCCCTCTCTATAAGAGACCTGACGAGACTCCGGACTTGGAAAAGCAATTGCATACGGATTACACACACTTTACTGTCGACTATTCAATCAATTATTACCTAAGTCTGGGTCTGTCTAAGGATAAGATGGTAATGGGAGTGCCCTTCTATGGCAGGGGTTGGACTCTTCTGGACGCCCAGCACAACCATATCCACGACGAGGCAAAGGGTATGTCACCCGCCGGTTGGATAGGGGGTGAGCCCGGAGTGTTGGGCTATAACGAGGTTTGTTACCATTTCTTAAACATTTACAAACACTGATTCGTATGAAAATTAATGCAAAATTAATTTTTCTATCTATAGTTGTGTCAAATGTTTAAGAAAAATGCCAGCGATTGGCAGCACTCTAATGACAGCCATTATTTGGCTCCGTATTCGTGGACTAAAGACACGTTTATTGGACACGAAGACAAGGAGAGCCTTCAGTGCAAAGTATATACAATTAATGAATATTTTAATTACATTTTAATGACAATTTAATTACAATATAAATGGCATCAATAGATCGCGTACTTGAAGGCCAAGGGGTTGAAGGGAGCGATGGTGTGGGCGCTGGAAAACGACGACTTCAAGGGTCGTTGCGGTGACGGAAAGTATCCTTTACTTCAAACCGTGTATTCAATGCTTAACGGAGACGACAAACACTCAATGCAATGCCCCTATGGAGAGGTGATTCCAACTACGGCTCCGCCAACAACCACTCCCAAACCCACATCCCCTACAACTAAACCCACTGATCCGCCGACAACCTCACCAACTCCTACCCCAACNTAAAACCCAATGAATGGTATAATTAGTTATTTAATAGTGTTTTATACGGAAATATTGAGCCAAACGTACGGACAGTCACCGAAACCAATGGTTTTCGTCATAAAAGATATGCACAGATATATCACTCAACCGCCGGAAGAATACGATACAAACCTATGGATCAAATGGAAACAAGACATCGACTCGTATAACACAAACGTCTGGACGACAGTCACTGACGCGACGAAGAAGTTTGAAAACATTAGCGACACTAAGACTGAGATGATTGCCGTCGGCCTAACACTCGACCAAATGTTGAACATTAAGAACCTATTTGTCGCTCACCGGCGAAGAGAACGCTTCATGGAATTAGTCTCCGATTACTATTACTGTTTGCTAAGGATTGTGTCCACACACCAGACCCTAGCGCTGGACTCTGTGCCGCAACTGAAACCAATGCTGGAGATCAGCTCAGATAGTCTGAAGGCATTTCTGCCTGATGCTTTGAACAAATTCAGGGCACTTAAACGCCAAGTGGATCAATTGAGAGCTGTTGGTCAGCGGCAGAGGTGGCGGATCTGGTCTTACGCTCAGATACAGAGAGCTGTGGATGAGTTGGCACCGTCTGAGGGCAAGGACCCCGGTGTAATCGAGTTCTATCTTAACTCTTGGTGGGGCTCAGAAGATAAGGCACAAATGACCCATTTTGGTCGGTGGGCGCCCACTCTCCACACGTCGGGTCTGGCACTCAAGCGATACCTCAATAATACGGATGTCGTGGTGTTTAAGTTGGCGTCAAAACAAGCGGTTAGGAAGCGCCCGGAGTTTAACGTAACGGTTGATGAAAGTGAGGCTAAATTTGAGTTGTTGTGTGCAATCGCTTGTATTCTCTATTTTTATAATCTCTTGTATTATTATTTGAAAATAACTGATGTTTTGAAATAGTTTTCGCTTATAAATCAATGTTTAATTTAATAGTTTAACAGTAGTTAAAAATTGTGCAAATATTTAATACATTAATAGCAGTAAATGTCTATTAAAAATAATAAAAACTTTTGTATGCATTCAAATTTAATTAAATTTATTTTTAAAATTATGTTTATATACAATGTCTTAAAATTATATTTGCATTCAATTACACATTAAATAAAATTAATTATTTCAATCATTTAATTGTCACATCTCTTGAGCTCCTGATGCCAAACGAGGTCTCCATAACAGGACCGTAGAGTTAGCCTCCATTTATGTGGACCAATACTTTCACACTGATAAAATTTATGGGGGTTCGAGGGGTCGGGCATATAGCCGTCGCGGGTACACATGGGGTCCACCGGGTCGGGGGTTGGGGTAAGAGTTGGGGTAGAAGTTGGTGTGGGTGTCGACGGATCAGTGGGTTTAGTTGTAGGGGTTGTGGGTTTGGGAGTGGTTGTTGTCGGCAATACCTGTCCGTAGGGGCACTCCATTGAGTGTTTGTCGTCTCCGTTAAGCATTGAATACACGGTTTGAAGTAAAGGATACTTTCCATAACCGCAACGACCCTTGAAGTCGTCGTTTTCAAGCGCCCAAACCATCGCTCCCTTTAATCCCTTGCCCTTCAAGTAGGCGATCTATTGATGGCATTTATATTGTAATTAAATTGTAATTAAAACGTCATTAAAATATTCATTAATTGTAAATACTTTGCACTGAAGGCTCTCCTTGTCTTCGTGTCCAATAAACGTGTCTTTAGTCCACGAATACGGAGCCAAATAATGGCTGTCATTAGAGTGCTGCCAATCGCTGGCATTTTTCTTAAACATTTG